TGACTGTCACATTGCCATCAACATTCTCTATGGAAAGACTATATATATCGAATGTTAAGAAAATCACAATCGATACATTATATTCACATAGAATAATTTGTAATTTTAATAATACCAAAGACCACACCCTGGTTTCATTGTAATTATACGCAAAAAAACAAGAGTCTTACAGTTAAATTACACAACCTGAAAAAAAAAAACACTATCGGTAAAATCCTGGCACATTCAAATCATCAAGTAAAAAAAATAAGCTCACAGATAACGAAAAAATTATTACTTATTAACGTGTTCCAATAGAAGATTGCATTTTAGAAGAAAAATAGAGTCGAAGTAAATTAAAAATAAAATAAAAATCGATGCGACAAAATGAAAAGATGCCAAATCGATGCGTATAAAAATTTGGAATTGAGTATAGATATGTTATTTTGCGCCCCCTGTGTAGTTTACTTGGCTGTTCTCCTTTACAAAGCCTCTAAAGTAGCTAACTCATTGGGGTTCAGGCCCCTTTAAGTGGTATTTATCAATGTTGTTTTAAAGGGGGTGAATTTTTTTTAAACAAAGTAAGAAAGCCCTGCTATAATCTGTAATAATTATATATTTTTTAGTCGTGGTTCTGTGGTACGCGTACCACTGCATGACTTTGGTACAAGAGGTCGGGAGTACAATCCTAAGTGACACTGTCAGGGTGCAGAAACTTTCATGAATAACTCAGGCATGTTGGCGCATTGAAAATTCTACGACTTGTGTCTTCTTCCAGGCTTGTGCTCTTTTTAGAGGCGTATCCCAACTGTTCGATAAAACAATACTTGATATATCTTGATGAAAATAAATTCGACTCGGGCAGGACTTGAACCGGCATCCTCAGCGTTCCGTGCTGTTGCTCTACCAATGACTTGACTCGGTAGCTCAATTGGTAGAGCAACAACACGATCTTTAAATTCCTGTGCAATAACATGTAAAAATAATAAATTTTTCAAATATCATAACATATATTTCTAACAAAAGCTCACTCGAAGCTTGCAGCCAACGCTTGATTCGTTCAGGTCCTATTCAAGAAACGACTGCCTAGCAGTAAAACTTAATGCACATACTATTTTGTTCGTTAATACAAGGAAACAAAACATATATTTGCTTGCGTTCGTAAACAATTTAAAACCTAAGACGTGAAAAGGATTTACTTCAGTTAAAGTGGATGCTTCGTTAACGGAGTCTTAGTGGAACCGACATTGAATGCTTGCATCATTTGTGAAGCCAGTCTCAAGATTATCACATACAAATTGTTAAATAACATACGAAACTACAATAGTAAGAACGCTGTAATATTCAAGTAGATTTGTATTAAACTACATCCTTGTACCCCAATTTCAAACTGCTAGGCACAATTTTTTTTATGAATAGTGCCACACTTCTCTAAAGGGTAGACGGATTTTAACAACTACCGCCTCTAAATTAGTCATAATAATTCTAAGAACAAGGGGAGGGGGGGGATTAGTTGTATTACTAAATACGTCTTTCTTCTAAATTGGGAAATTTTCTTATACGGAACCTGGAGCTCAAACTAACCCTGAAATATAAAACCAACGAGGCTTACACAGTATACTTAATAGAAGTGAGATCGTCAAGATCTGTTTAATAATACTAAACACAGATGATATTATAATTTCAGTAGGTTTTTTTCTTACATTTTCACACTTTAATTATCTTTCTGTTTCACTTGGTAATATTGGATAACATAGCGGGTGAGAAGAGTACTTTAAAAAACATATATTCTTTATTGCGCAAAAAAAAAAATATATATAAAAAAGCGCCCTTATCGCTAACAAGCTATCTCTACCAGGCAACTTAAAATTTTTAAAATAAGAACTCTAAATTTACATCAACTTACATCAACTTACATTGCTCACAAGAGCGTAAAAAGAGAAGAACTGGCAAGAGACTCGCCGCCATACCTTTTATCGTCTAGTTTTTTACAACTTACGCACTTAATGTATTATAAAAAATAAAATTAATTTCAAATCGGATAAATTATTTCATTAAACACCCTATTTCCTGTACGTGAATTTAATTTAATCTATGCAAATATCACAGAATAGTTATAATATCGTTTGTGGCTGATATAAACTCATTTACATAATAAATTAGATCATTAAAATAAATTAGCTGCCGATTACGGCTTGCGTTGTTTGCTTTTAATTACGTTCGGCAAGCTCATTGTTTTAAATGTTGATTATTAAATCCGTGCTATAGCTGTAACAGCTCGAGTGCCTTCACAGCTAAAGCTAAATACGTTATGTAGCTTTACTTTCAGCGCGGATTTTCCTGAAGTCTGATCATATATAAAAAAATCTCTATTTATTGAATAAAGTGACCGCTGTAGTAATTTATACCAATCTAATTCTAATAGCGATTGCTCAGCCCTGATCATCACTTCATATAATATTATTTAATCTTTTATTTATTTGAATAAAACACTATTAACGGTTTAAATTACTTTTCGGACGCTTTGCTTATGTTTTTACTAAATTAACACTTTAAATAGATCTGAAACACTACAACTCCTACTCCCGGAGGCGGATAGAAAGAGATGAAAGCAGACCCCTCGAAATAAGGTAGCAGAGCGGAAAATTGAGTTGACCGCCAAGAAACTTGATCCGCAATAACAAGTTCATTCAATCAGACAGACGGCTCTAATCTGATTATCATTTATTAAGCGGAGTTTACCATTTGATACTCGTTTACCGAGAACGAGGCCTCGTCACGGCCCTTGTTACAAATCTAATTACTAAAATTAGTTGGATTATTACAATTGACCTACATTATGCCTATATACAGTATACGCTGGAGCAGTGTCTCCCAATTAGTTTTTGCTGCGTAGTACTTCAAAAAAGACTTCAAACTTTTACCCCTTATTTTAGCAAACACACACTATAAACTAGTGCTGTGTCAGCGACTTCGTCCGCGTAGAATAGTTTATTTTATATTATGAGTGATTTTTTTTATTCTACGAAGCCCTTTCGCCGTACTTTAAATAAGAATGTGTCAAAATCGATTAAATACGTTGTTTAGACTTTAGCAAAGACGAACAAACACACTTTCGCATTTATAATATTAGTTTGAATTTGTTCGTATTTTAGTTTGCGTTATCATGAAAAACACCATCTTTCCTGAAGAACAATTAGCATGAAATCACGTGCCAATAAATTTGGAGTTATCGAGTGCTCCTGAATCCATTCACCCGGCGACGAGTGCTCGGTAATGAGAGGCCGCGGCGCTCCAGATTCCGTCGAACGAGAATTATTTGTGCCCACTCCAAATGGGGCAATCCACCCGCAGAGACAATTGAAATAAAACATTGCTAAAGACCGGTCAACGACGATGAAACGTCAGAATCCAGCTCTGACAAAATCATTCATAAATCGATGGTGTTATGAACCATTTTGGCATTTCGCTGACAGCGAACCGCAACTTTTATTATTCCGAAATGTTTTATTTTAAATCTGCAACTAACGAGTTTGGCCTTGTGCTTTTATTAGTGGAACAGATGTTAATCCTGTGCGTTATAAATATGATAAGTCTCGTTACCAGATAGATGCAAGTACTTTTATTAATACATTTATTTTACACTAAAACAATAACGCATTAATTTATTACTTACCTTCTTTGGACATATTAATTTAAATTACATGCTGTAAAGAGCCATATTGGTCTATTTTAAATGGACAATGTATTCGTGAAAAAACACTTTAAAAATCAATATAAAGGAAAATAGAATTAACTCTGGGATATCTATAACATATCATCGTGGACTTTTTTGTTAGCTTTAGTAATTCAGAAATATACAGACTGAATCCGAAACGCGAATAAATTATTTACTAGAAACGATGGCTTTTTCATCTGTGCACGGTGCTTCGCGACCCGGACTTTCGATATTTCGATCGATAGATCGAATAACTAGGCGAAGTCACACGCGTGTCAGAAAAAATATACATTTATTAGAAAAAATGTTGGACTCGATGATTATTAGCCACTGCTACCATTAAACCAAGCCCAGAATCTATCTCTATTCTATGCTGAGCCCCTGTGAACATTAGGATTGATTTCTTTGATCCACTCCATGCCTTGTCAAATACACTTGAGCGAAGATCGGTCATCAAAAAAGCCGCCAGCCAGGCGAGTGCGCGATACAGTTCTTTGGATCTACACAAAAAGAAGTCGGTGGATTGCATTCGCGTTCCCGACACGAGACGTCCGAGGAATCCGTATTGTTATACGTCGGAAATATGTTTTCTGATTCTACGCTCGTGAGCTATTGATATGTGAGAATATTTTTAACTCGATAGATATCATGTTTTCAACACTTCTATTTTTAATAGCCTACTATAGTTGCTAGAATCTAGATATAGATCTAGGATCTATAATATGATCTTTAATATTTTACACATCTTATTGCACATGACACCACTATATAAATTAACCATCGATTTGAAAAAAAATTCGACTCGAGCGGGTCTTGAAATGGTATCGTCAGCGTCTCGTGCTGTTGCTCTAACCAATTGAGCTACCGAGTCCTACGCGCCTTCATCGAAATTTTTCAACTGTGTTATTATAACCATGCTACACAATAACTAATAATATCAATAAATAAACTACTAAACGTAGTGATAAATATCTATTCCTACATATTGTCTGTAGTTTACTCGAGCAGGACAAATTTAAATAAAACTCTTTTAAATACTTAAAGCGTCATTAGTTATCTTTTTAATTTAATTACGCGATAAGTCGGGCCATAGTTAAATTAAATTAAAAATTAGTTAACTAATATATTTCGCGCTTCAAACCGTTAATGTGGTTTTATTTTACTCTATTCCTAGATCAATAAATGCCATGATAATAAGACTTTTATGTTTCACTTTGCACACATAGTCAAAAGACCACAAGTGTGAACAATGAGTTACTTTACAAACTTCAAACGACTTAAAAAATGGAACTTAAAATTCAGCATGAGTCAACCTCGCCGAGTTGTTTATAAAGTGCGAAGTTTCGTGTTTCACATGTGTAATGCTCTCGAAATATTGCACGCGCTGAGGGTGTGGGTCCCTGCAGCGTGGATGAAATTAGCTGCACCGCCATTCTGTCTGCCGCAAGCTAATTTGTAACGGGTAATAAGCCACAACCTTGGTGGCTTAGGAGCGCGTTGCCTAGCAAAAAGTTTTGACAAGTCCTAGTTCCTTTCCATAGACAAAATAGTTTTTGTCCTTACTTGTCAAGTATAGTCTGTATTTGTCGTGTATTACAGATTATGCTTACTTAAGTATATTAGCTATATGAATGGCAAGCGACATTTATATACCACACTTTTAACAGTTTAAAACGCTAAATATTATTTAACTGACTCGATCATTGGAATAATATGTCCGCCCTTTGCACGGTGCATTCGGACAGGGAGACTACATTACAAATAATTACTTAGGCTGAGTTTCTATATATAATAAATATTTAAATAACAACGCTCCTAAAAATATTAACATAATGAAATAAAAAATTGCATATCCCTTTTTTAGTCATATGATTTGAAAAATATATACATGATTATATCTTAACTAATATTGAAAAATTTCGTCCTTAGTAAATACATACTATAAAAACATATATGTGTGATAAGAATTAATAATAAGAATTAAATAAACATTTGAACTGTTTAAGACGCGAAATATTGCAGCCGTGGTCACGGCGGGCCTATCTTAATAGATGTTTAATTTTACCATACAATAAAATTGAGTAAACTGTAAATTAAGATATATCTTTCGGCTCGTGGGCGGACTGAACCGCTAATATCGCTAAGTACATTATAAATATAAACTGTTTCTCGTTCTACAGTTAAATATATTGTTTTAAAACTCGCTATAAATAAAACATTCAAGCCGTATTTATAGATGTCCCGGTGTTTTATGAGTCGTGAGACTAGAAATAAATTTGGAGACATTTTATTAGTTGATAATTTTATATCGGACAAAATTCCGATGTTACTCCCACCAGTTTCATGTCAAAATTGTAAACGGTGTTTTGATGCTCAGTGGAAATTGAATCTAGGATCATACCCAGCTCCTGGAGGGTCGGTGTTACAATTTTTTAGGTCAGGTCGTACGTGACTGTTTTCTCGTACTAGTGTTTAAAACATAATATATAGTAACATACACTTTCTTATGATTATTTTCACTGAATTAACACCACGGGGTACGCCCATTCTTTCCCATTCTAGGACCCAATTTTTAAGGGCTTAGTAGACATTACAATAAATGAATTGTTTCTTTCGCGGCCATTTTGTAAACTTAACTTTTCTCCCTATTCGGTTCTCGAACTGTTCCAGTACTAGTTCTTCTGTTACTGTGCTTTGGTGTGGCACCAGTTTTCGGGCTATTTTCGGCGATATTCTTATCTCACATCAAATCCAAGGCAGTTGTAACATCAATTCACTTAGAAGCATTTCTCATCGACTCATCCATTACATTAGGCTTATCTGGCATCGATAGCTTGCCACGTTATTGCTCCCTTTCTAATTCGGCTTCATCATCACATTAGCGGCACCGGCGTACATGTACAACGTCATAAATATCGACCCTTTGATATCTTTTCTATTCTATTATTCAATTCCTTGCTTTCGCCTGCGACCTCATCTTCGGGTAATAAATGATGCTGTTAGCATATGATTTTTCTAACGCTTCACTATTAAATAAAACATTTTTAACAGTTAAATACTAGAAATATATTAATTAACTCATCTATAATTTATGTCAATTACGACGGGGCCATCCCCCTGACCGCAAAGTATCCGAATCCGTCTCAATACAATTCGCGTTTTAAACCGTTAAGAGTGTTTGATTTAAATTTGTACTTCTCGCGCAACAGACAGTACATTAATACTTCACTAAATAATAAAACAATGAATGAATAAACAAGATCTCACTTTGAATATACCATACCACACAGCATCTGATTCCAATAAAACAAGGCCTATATATTCTTCAAGCGCATTTAAAAGCATTTTTATATATCAGCAATATTATTATGCTCGCGCTGTACAAAACTGTCGAGACAAACCGGTCGCGGGTTGAGTGTTCACGAAAAAATTGCATTCTGCAGTTTGCGCGTTCATTGACACGCGATGTTCCGAGGACGTCTCAAATTACGAAAGCTATTTGATATACTATTCTGTTGTGTTGCCGTTCTTTGTTTGTCAAACTGTTCGGCCCGCATGTATTGATTTTGAACGCCGAAATTTAATGATTATATAGAAAGTGGAGCAACTTTTTTACGTTGCATTGTACGTACATAATAGAAATAAAAATAACGCCCTCTTTCAGCGCCCGACACAAACAAAGACACTCGTTGAACGTTTTTAATTCATTTGTTTTAGAAGTACACATAATCACGTGTGGCCTTGTTACTCTTTATATATATTTTAAGAAACGTATATGAATATTTAGAGATACTCGTTATAAGTACAAAGCGTAAATTGTAATGATGTGGAACAAACTAAGAAAATATGATAACATATGATTTCTGAAGGTATTCCATGGTACAAACGCTGATGTGCTTATTTAAACATATTTTATCAGTCCCTGGCGCCCTATGTAGCGGCCGTATTAGTACATGTTTGTAAATCGTCTTATTGTAATTTCTCTCGGCTTAGCTCTAAATATATCTTGCCTGTGTAAATATGTACACTCCTACTATATTACAAACTTGATCTTCGTTAAATATCTTCGCTTCAAGAATTCTGTCTTATACACTATAATAATTAGTTTTTACGTTCTTTCAATAAGCAAAAAAAGATTATAAAAATAAACGGTTTAAAACGCGAAATATATTAATTTATTTTAACTTCGGTTCAATGGTTTAACAAGATTTATTCTTTTATTCTTGTACGCACGACAGGACCTGAGTTCAAATCCCGAGGAAATTATATTTTTTTCCATCGAGCAGACTACTTGTCTGAAATTAAAATCAATTAGTAAAACGGACACAGAAATGTGTTCATTCCGTGTCCCATGCCACATGTTATTTCACACCGTCAATCTATGTTTGTTTTATGATTTACTAGCGACTCTCCCTGCTGCGCTTGAGTGCAATGCTGATACTAAATACACTACAGAAAACTGTGCTCGTTAGAGATAAACCTTCCTCTTGAGTCACTCTATCTATTTAAAAAAAACTGCATCAAAATCTGTTGCGTAGTTTCAAAGATTTAAGCGCACATAGAGACAGAAGAGGTGACTTCGTTACTATGTAGTGATAGTGAAGCTTACACATACATTTAAAATTGATCAAATAAAACATTTTTAAATCCATTAGTGTATTTATAATGTAATCCAATTACACGGTCTGTTCAAATGAGTTATTGTTTTAGTAAATCATTTAGACTTATCGAGTTTCAGTCATTAACCTCTGTCACTGAATGAAAACATTCTACTTCTTTCTTAAACAAAGCAAATCTAAAATGGCTTCTTTTAGGTTAGGTTAAGAGGTAATATTATATCGCACTATGTTTAGAAATCATCAAACCTCTGCCACCGCCTCCACAGGAATCCAACTACCAGAATCTTTTAATCTGAAGTTATAATTAAGTAATTTTACCAATAATACCTTGTCACGTCCAATTAAAATATCATTCAAGTTCTCTTCTACTATTTCTCTATCTTCTGATAAAAGGATCTTGCTTATATACAAACATGTTGATAAAGGGAGTGGCGGCGAGTTTCTTGCCAGTTCTTCTCGTTCTACGCCCTTCATATAAGAACTGGTAAATTTGACGTTCATAAGTGTAGTAGTTACCTACTTGAATAAATTATTTTTGATTATGACTAGTTACAAACACTGTATCTACCATAGGGTAAATAATTTGTCTTCCCTTTCCCCCTGGCCTGACGCTGAGTGCGCTCGCGACTTTGTGAAACTTCATCTTCCAATAAATAATTGCAGTTCCTTGCATTGCTTTTACGAAAGACCTTTGATAGTGTCTGCGACGAATGACGATCCAAACGCAAGATTCGTTATAAAGTCTTAATCCGGGTTCACGACGTTGCATCTAGGAGAGTGCACTTGAAGCTCCCTCTTGTCTTAGAAGCGAAAGTTGAATGCAGCAGCTAATGAACTCACTTTTTGTAAAGATTCTCAACTGCCCGAGGACCTCGAGAACGCTAGACACATAATTATAGAAGTGAAAAACATTAATAATAAGTAAATATGTACTTTAATGTTGTTTTATGACAACAGCGTAACACAGACAAATGAAGCTAATACTTGGTAAAATACCTTAGACATATAACATCTGGAAAAGATGTGTCGTTGACCTATTTTGGCTTTAGACTGTAGAAATTTACAGGAACAACGGATTAACATTTCTTGACTGCGGACGGATTTTTTATATATATAAAAATATGGATAATTAGTATAACTGGCTATAACATCAAACAAAAAATACTACATACATTTATTGAATGGTAAGGTATGTCTAGTGGACACTAACGCAACTTATATGAGCCTAATTAAGCACTCGCAACCATATAGGGATTAAAACTCTTAATTTCATTTGCCCACTCGTTTCATAATGACGCTGGAGTGCCTGTACTGACCTTCTTTTAGAATACGATGCGCCAATTTGATTTAGTGCTAATTTAAATAGAAATGTATGGTTTAAAAAAGTTCTCTCGACGAACTACTTAAAATTCAAAACTTTTATTGCCATAATAAGATATTTACAAACTTATAATTCAATTGTGTGCATAAAAATAATAATATTATAAGTAATAAATATATATTAGTTTTAAATACAAAAAATAACATTTTAAATTTTGATTATTTTGTGTGTCTGAAAAAGAATCGATCAGTGAAACGGACACAGATATGTATTCGCCCGCGTTTTCCCGGGTGGGTCATGAAAACCCGGGAAAACTGGATTTCACTTGTCTGTAATAATAGTTGTTAACTAAGGAACTCGTAGGAAAAGTTATATGCGAAGACAGAAAAACTCACTTCGTGGATAATATAAGTTATTCCGTTCCACTCCTTTTCACGGGTGGAATTGTTCGTAATCAGACAACGTCAACTTGACGGATGTGTGACATTATTTATTCAACATTTTCCTTCTCCACGAATTCACGTAATAATAAGTGCCACTCGAATTGTTTTACGGAGGTCTTTTCACATTTTCCAGAACGAGAATCTATATTTTCCACTTTGGCTCTCTTTTATTTCTCAATTTAGAGTTAGATACTGTCTGTAGTTTTCGCGAGTAGCACACATTTAAATAAAACACTTCAACGGTTTAAAACGTGTCGTGGTTACCGCCACGAGTGCTGCGAAGTATCCGAAACGTCAGGCCATAGTTAAAATGATTTTCCACATAGTTAAAATGAGATACCACCCATTTACCCTTTCATTATTTAACATACACTGCCATTACCTTTGGACCAAGTGAGTTTGGTCTAGACTTTTCTCCTTTGGTCAAAAGAGACCTAACACTTTTAACTTATTATTATTTCTGGAATTAGCAGATGAGCTACTAGATGGGCACTATAGCTCGATTTATTATTGTACAGAATGCAAATACATCTATATTAGATGTTTATTACATTTATTAAAACGCGAATTAAGCTCTAACCAGTCACTAAAGTTCACATTTCCGTGAATATTCGTTGTCAAAGAAAATACTGAAATATCACCACTTTATCAAAGGCTTTGTAGGTATAAACAGCGCGTTTATTGGAAATGGTGGGAAATTTATCGCGTGTATTGAATTTTCTCTGTATAATGTTTGTTCGAATAACGAGTATGTACGCGAATTATATATACCGCGAGGTATTTAAGCTACTAATTCACTCTAAGCTAAATAGTTTCGATCAGACAAGGCACAAAATAAAGTAAATGGTCATGTACATTAAAAAGAATTGGTACTCTATATACCCCACTTATGACTACAATCCAATATTTGTCATTTAAAATATTTAAGTAAAATATTAAATATGAATTTCCATATATGTCTGGATTTAAAGCAGCCTTATTTATGTGTCTGTCAAATCGATACACTTTTACTTGACTTTACAGGAAAGTTAATCAAACATCACGTAATTAAAAACAAAAATTGTTAATATCTATGCCTGCCAAACCTCAAACCTTGGAAACCCTGCGTCTAACCACTGAGCCAGTATAATAGTCGGTGTCTTTAACTAAGTCGCAGCAATAAAATAATTTCCTTGAATGCAAATACCCGCACGTCGGAAGGTCGTTTGGGAATCGTAAAATGTCAAATAGCGGATGTCGTTCTATTTTTATTTTAATGATTTTTCAGATTATCTCTTAAATATTCATTAGATGCACTGTAGAGGGAAAATACTTTTATGTTAGCCGCTCTCTATATAAGTTTTTATATTGTCAGATGTCTTAAACATTCTCTGAACAGGCTCGTTGGTGTAACGGTAGCAATGTACGGCTAATAATCAATAGGTCGTAGCTAGATCTCCGCCGGGTCCAAGATATTTCTAATCAATTATAATCTTTCTGAAACAAGATGGACTTCGTCTGGACTTCTGAAGTTAAGGATTTCCGAATGTCTAAAGCCAAAATAGGTCGATAGCTCATCTTGTTCAGATGCTATAGGCTGGGCTTGTCTGTTCTCCTCTATCATAAAAAAAGTATAAAAACGTCAAGAGCGAACCGCACTTAACACATAATTATTATACACACTAAATAACTACGCTGCCGTCTAGTTTCTCTAAATATAGACCTACGTTTGTAGGCAAGGTGACAAAATCAGTAGAAAAACTTACGTAAGTGGGTTCGTTGTGCCAAGGTGGTAGAACGTGTCCAATCTTTATATCCACCTGCTGTATATAAAGCGATAAAAAGCTCGAATGCTCTTCAAAGACGCCCCAGTAATTGCACCGCGCTACAATATAAAATAGGAAAATGTAAATATTTTTTGTCCGACTCCGCGGTGTCTGCGGAGTCTTGGCCTTGGACTTGCGTCCACGTCACTGCTATGTTCCGATCGGTCTAAATCCATCGCGGGCTCAGATAAAAAATAACACGACGACTTGTTTTAAACACTTGCACGTGGTAGCACGTTACGCTGTGTCAACTCCCGCCAATAAGCTTTCTTAATGATTCAAACTTTAACGGTTTAAAACGCGAAATATATGCCCGATGTTTCGGTTGCAGTAGCCGTGGTCACCGGCTGAAATACGAACCATAAATATATTTCGTGGTTTAAACCGTTAAAATTGTTGTATTTGAATGCGTACAGCTCGCGTCAACTATAGACAATACTAGATTTAAACTGTATTAAGAATTACTATGTAAAAACACAACAACGTGAATTTATTAAGTTTTGAATACAAATGTGTTTTTTTGCTTTTTTTGTGCTACTCCGAAGCAACAAATTGGTAACACAGTAATATTTGTATTTAAACAAGATCGTAATTTCTTTCGCGGCCGTCTTAGTAGCTGTTTTTACATATATTTATTTTGACTTTTTGTACTAGCTCACCATTACATCTCAGTTAAATTAAGTTTTATATATATAGTATCCTAGTATTCACCTGTTCTTTAGACAAAAAGTATTGTATTAAACGAAAGGTAAGGCTAGATAAAATTAGGTTAGACCCTCGTCTTCAGTAGCTGAGCTGTCACTGCGGCGAGCGTGACCTTCCCTAAATGTAATTTATACTTACCTTAAGCTCATAATGTGTTTATAAACCTAGCACGTATAAATGCGCAAATGATTTTTAAACAACCTTAGTTAATTAAATTACGTAAATTACTTAAAATCAAACAAAATATAACAAGTTGAAAAGCATTAATGGATAGCGCATAAAACCAAAAAAACTGTTTAATTTAATGTGTACATCTCGTGCAAACTACAAATACAACATATTCTCTACTTTATATAGCTTACCGCGAGTAGTACACATTTAAATAAAACACTTGAATGGTTTAAAACGCGATATATTAGTTAAACTTATTTGAAAATGACTTTTCCGATGATTCCGAAACGTCGGACTAAGTTAAAAATCATTTTTAAATATGTTAAATAAAACACTTTAACGGTTTACGTGGTCACGGGGAGTCTCCCCGGCTGCCGCAAAGCATGCGAAACGTCGGGCCGTAGTTAAAAATCATTTAACTAATATATCGCGTTTTAAACCGTTAAAGTCTTTTATTTAAATGTGTACTACTCGCGTAAACTATAGACAGTATTTAAATAAGTTTAAGTAATATATCGCGTTTTAAACGCGATAAAGTGTTTTATTTAAAAACATATTCTCTTCTTAGCGGTAGACTTCTGCAAAAGTATATCGCGTTACATATATATAAAGCACAAACTATTCCTTTTCTCTGGTTTTGATTTTTAATGGTTTTTCAGGACCAATATGCGGTGGGCATTGTTGCGGCCGAGGAAGAGAAACACACTTGACTGCAAAGTTAAAGAGAAGCGCAGAAGAGAAGATAGCGGCTGCCACGAGACCGGTCGCTGAGCTCTTACTGGCTACGAGGCGAACCTTACAAGGTAAAATAAGGTTACGCAGAAAGAGTATTCAAATATGTATTATTTTCAATCAGAATTTTGACATAAATTAAATTATGTTTATTTTAATAACCACCCGATATTTCTGATAATTTGGAGCAGCCATGTTCACGGGTGATAATATTTTGTCATATATTTGTGTTACATCGTGCATCCATCAGTTTTTTAATAATGTTGATCTCGTACAGACGAATTATTACTAATACTTTTTTATAGTATGTTTTAGGGCTTACTGATTACATAATTCTATATTATTGTACAGGTTACGTTCCAAGATTCTTAAATAAGATTTAAATAAAACACTTTAACTGAAAAATTATACTTTTAAACCTTATGCTTTATGGCTTGGCAAATGCTGATTTTCAATTCTTTATCAGATAACAAGTAGTACCGCACAATTAAAACAAAAATATATAGTTTTTTTATTATTTAGTAAAGTTTGTTCAATCTGCAACTCTATAGCCCAACTGAAGTTTCAATTGTACAAAAACAACTAACACCTGGCCTTTAATTGTCAGTGAAGAGTGGATATTGTGATTGCTTTCATATTATAGTGATTTTCATTGTTTAAAGTGCCGAGTGATCGATAAAATAAATACCAAATGCATTCAATCGACCGCACGACACACCCTGTACGGGCGTACTCGAACTATGACGCAATAATGACATTTATTGTCATGTAGCGACGACACATAGTTCAGAAGAAGCAAGATCTAATGGTAGAACAACAAATAGTCAACTGTTATCGTTCGATATTGTATTATAAATGTTGCTTCAACAAATTGGACGCTTTGTTTAGAGTTATGTTTTCTTTTTAGTGCCAGAGTCACCAGAGTTAAAATTTGACATGATTTTAGTCTGTGGATATATGAAAACCAAAAAATGGTCGATATCTTTTTAAGACGTTAAATGGCTGCGGTATTTTACCTACCAATAAAAATACAAACAAATAAAATAAAAACGAAAAATACTTTACTGTTCTCCTCTATTATAAAAAAATGCGGCTGACAGGACGCCTGACCGTGTTGTGGTAAACCGCGTGGTGTGTAAGAGCCCTTAGCGCAGTGCATTGACCTCTATTGCGAGTGGGTTAAAAACAATGCAGAATTTTATATTGTTTTTACCCTCGTTACACGGCAAACCAAGTGAAAACGTCCCCTTTCCATCAGTTTATAATGTAGGCAGGCCTTTTCATACCATATTTCAGATACCTACTCCCAACAAAATAACTCAAAAGTATGTAAATAACAGTTTTAAATGCGACATGTATAGGTTCACTTTTTTATCATGTATGTTAACTACGGCCCGACGTTTGGTACGCTTATCTGGAGCTATGGTCACAGGGGGACGGTGGAGGGTATTTAACGTCAAAGTTAAATCTGATTAATTAACGCCATCTGTTTCGATGTAGTTTATGTTTGGAGGAACTGGCTGTGTCCTTACAGAACTGACTTACTGTGTTACTTGTCAAAAAACGCCACACTGGTAAACGAGTAGAAATAAGTTAATTAAAGTACTTCACGTTTTAAACCGTTAAAAGTATTTTATTTAAATAATATGTACTACTAGACAGTGCTAAAGGTATATATTGTTCTACCTTAAATTGTTTTGTTTGTTTGCAACAGTATAATTCTATACGAGTTTTAGCCCTTGGAAATATTCGTGTTGTATTTAACTTGTTTAAGACTGGCATGAATTGTCATAGCTTTGCATTCTAAAGTTATTCTCCGGGTTATTTCATTAGACGTAATGTTAAGTTTGCAAACCTGCGACCGTCATTAAGGCTAAAATAAACTTTACCCTCCATGCAATACGTGTATTATGGAGTCAACTATTAAATATATTTTACTCTTGGCTTTAACGTAGCGGATATAATATATTGTTAGGAGTAGTTAGGGCATTATTATATGTTTTTTCTTAGATATTTCTGTGGAATTATTATTAACATACATTCTTACTAAGTTTTTATAACATAGCTAACAATTTTAAATATTGCCGTAAAAACATTTCACTTAAAATCGTTGGAACTCTTTTGTTAAACACAAAAATTGCCTATGCAGCAAAAGGATATTCAATTATTTTGAACTTTATTTTATTTAACGGGTTATATGGATTGGAGATGGTTTGTGTGCCTAATGTTTTAGTCTAATTTGTTACGCTAGCGCCATCTGTTTCTTCGTTTTAGAGAGTTTATCTTTTAACTTTTTTTCAAATATGTATTATATATTTTACACGGTATGTATTAACAAAACAATTTTAACTAAATATAGTATTTTAGTCAACTTATTTTTGACTACACGACGTTTCAAATGCATTTAAGTCAGCGGTAGTCCCTTTGTAGTTAAAAGTTATAGTTGTCGTGTTTCAAATTGTTTTATTTACAGATACAGCTAACCTATTTAATAACTATGTAACTGTAAAGAGACCTTACTTCACTATCATATTTCTATTTGGGATATCACCCACGTAGTGTTTCGTAACAGATACAAAACATTTAATTTAGACAACACCTTTGCCAGCATTGAATGCATTATCTTTAGAATGTTAAGGTTTTGATCCCATCTACATTCCTAGATAAGGGAGGCAAGCGTAAACTCAAATATGATAATCTAAATATATATATTTGCTTAGGGCTTGTTAGGTTGTTGTTTTGGGAACTGTTTGATTATACGCTCGAATTACCTAACTAGTTACTCGCATAATGGACTACATGAACCTTTCTCGTATTAACGTATGTAATATTAGTAACGTGTGTAGTCAACGCGAGTAGTATACATTTATACAGAACACTTTAACGGTTTAAAACGCGAAATATACCAGTTGAACTTATTTTAACTACGGTCTGAAGTTTCGAATGCTTTGCAGTAGCCGTGGTCACCTTACGCCAACAAATATATTTCGCGTTTTAATCCGTTCAAGATTTTTATTTAAACGTATGTTTGTGTTATACTTTTCTGCATGTATTGGGGAAACAATTATATAGGTGTAAACTTCGTTTACTAAATTAAAGTAAATAACGATATTTCGCGTTTAAAAACGTTAAAAGTGTTGTATTTAAATGTATACTAATAGCGTAAACTACAGACGTAAAGAAAAGATTTATTTTTTTGCAAATATTTACATTTAACTAAATAATATTAATTTAGTGTTATTTAGTTACAACTTTACGCAAGGAGTATAAACACTTGTGGTTTTAAAATTTTTCAATATTAAATGTTTTAACAATTATACTTCATGTTTCAAACTGTTTAAATTGCTATTGTGCGCATTTGTTATTAATGAAACGTCAATATTTTTTCGATGTTTACAAAACCGACGTATGTATTGCCAAGTGAGATTTAGCTATGAAATAAATACTTGAAGCCAAATGCGTCGCTATTTGAGAAGTGGGCAGCGGTCGTTGGCTCCTTCTTGCCACCCGCCAGCCATTACACCGGCATGATAGACCGACAAAAAAGACGTCTCCTAGACATCAGATTGAATTACTTTGATATCTAGATGGCAAAAAGTATTCTTGCATTTCTTATTCGATGTTCTATTTAGCTATTTATATTAAGAGACATTTGCAAAAAGCTCTGAGTCCAATCTGTAACTTTAAGCTACAATAAAATGACTGTAATAGAACGTATAGCAGTGTAATAAGTAATAAAAGTTTACGCGAGTGTACACATTAAAATAAAACTCTTTTAACGGTTTGAAACGTTAAATATATTATTTAACTTTTGTACTACTAATACATTTCCCGTTTCAAATCGTTAGAAGACTTTTATTGAAACGTTAAGTTATTTTAATAGTCTTTACTAAATTTTAATCAGATGGCTTAATAAAACCATGAGCTTTAAAACTACGGCTCGTTCGTCGTCGTCGAGTTTTACTCCAATATATTTTTAAATTATTGTATAATTTTTCTGATAAATGCTAAACCCCTAGTCGAAATACTATTTCCGACTGGGTCGTGACACCCATGAGACACAATCCAATTTTCGGTTTCAGTCTGCGGGTTTCCATCATCCAAATCCAAAAAAATCCAAACATCCAAAGTCCAACATAAGTCGACAGCGCATTTGAATAAAGTTTTAAATATTTTATCACCCATCATGTGTTTACTAAAATGCTTTCCTGCCTATCCACATGATTTAAAGCTTAAATTAAAAGTCTACCAGTACGTGTTGGTGCCTTCATATCCATTTAAAACGTATTTTCTTACAGAACACCTGACAGCGCTATCACAGCAATCCCAGAACAAAACAGCGGTGCTGTTCTCACAGCTCTACCGCACTCATGCTGCAAGAGCTCACGGACCACTCGCCACGCTGTACGACGATATTAGGACATTACTACGTTCGAATCCTGAAGCTGAAGATGTGAACGGCGACGTCCTAGGGTCTCCGCCTCCAAGAGAGATGGCACAGAGCACAAAGAAATTCTTCCGAGACGTATTTCCAGTTGCCTATCAGAATGTGTTGAGGCTGGACGCGAAAGAATTCACGACGGCATATGAGGCGTGCTTGAAAGACGCGTATGACGCTGTACAGCCGTTTGGCGATGTACCGGAACAGGTAAGGCATCTATTGAAACATGAATGCTTGATGATGAATGATGTTTATTTTTCATATTTAGACTTGGTAGTTTAGTTTGAATTGCTATAACTGTTATATTTTAAATAAATATAAATATGGTCTTTAGATTGTACAAGTGTTAAAAAATAGATGAAACATTTTTAACGGCTTAAAACTATACACTAGCGAGGCCTACCTACGTTTAGTTATCGTGACAACTGCTGCATTCCACCATCCGAAGGGTCGAATTTACTTCGCGATTTAAACCGTTAAAAGTGTTTTATTACACTTGAAGCTTGCGATTTGTTTAAAATGGAAAATCCTATCGACAGTTGGGTGCGTCTCTATCAAAATCTTTGGAAGCTGCACGAGCGCTGCTTCAAGTACTTGCAGTTGGAGCCGGGGCACTGACAGCCAGCGAGAAAGTTGTTAGCATAAACGATGAATGCGCCACCAAATTGCTCCTATTAGAAGGCTGTTCTCGATGTAAGGGCTTCGAAGTCAGTCCCTGTAGAAATTATTGTCTTAACGTCGCAAGAGGGTAAGTAAATTTTATTTTAAGTATTTATTTGGAAGTATTAACATGGTGAGGTAAAATACCCCAGCCATACAACATCTAAACAAGATTCTCTGTGAACCTATTTTGGCTTTGGATATTCGGAAATCCACAGACTAAAACCAAAACACGATTAATCTTAATTATTATGTTTAACGTCTATTATTGATTAACGTCTTTTTCATCTGCGGACCACTGTTTGTGGGCGGTTCTATTGAAATATTGAAAAAAAATGTATTAATTGAATAATTAGAAACATGTTGGACCTGATGGGGATCGAACCCACGACCTGTTGGTTATAAGCCATACATTGCTACCGATATAGTTTTAATGTTGACATTTATTTCCCACAGTTGCATTGGTTCAACGATATCTGAACTGGATGCACCCTGGGCTGGATACGTGGAAGGAGTAGAGAGGCTCGCGAGAGCAGACGCAGATGCTGCGCTTAGAGCTCTGGACGCCAGGGTCTCGGAAGCAATTATGCATGCTTTGGAGAACCATGTCATATTGGAAAAAAAGGTAGGAAAATACTGTCTATAGTTGACGCGAGTACACATTTAAATAAAACACTTAACGGGTTAAAACGCGATATATTAGTTAAACTTATTGAAAATGACTTTTAACTTCGGCCCGACGTTTCGGATGCTATACAGCAGCCGTGGAGACGGGGTCTTAAAAATCATTTTCAATAAGTTTACCGAATATATCGCGTTTTAAACCGTTAAAGTGTTTTCTTTATAGGTAGGAAAACTCTTCTTTTACGTAATGACTTTGATGAGTGAAAGTGTGAAATTCCGTTTCCCCTTTGTGGGGCATGGGGCGGACACATTTCTGTGTATGTTTCACTAATCCGTTCTTTAACAGGCTAGTAGTTGATCAGACTTCTGTGCCATGCCCGACCGGAACAATTTTTGTTTTCCTGGAATTCGAACCCAAGACCTCTAGCGCTTAACGCAATGCTAGGTAATACGTTTAACCATTTGGCTACAGAGGTCAGACAATTTTATACAGAGCAAAAAAGGCTTTATTTACTTACAAAAAAAAAGGCTAGTATTGCCAGTGTTGATAACACGTGAAAATGTTAAGCAGTGGAAATAAAAGCACTTAAAGATGGCGGTAAACTTAATGCTGCTCAATATGTAAATTGTGAATAAAGCTCTGTAGCGAGCCTAATTATTGTCGTTGAAACTTTACGAATCGCTCTCCGGGAGCTGGAAAGTTGCGCGAAACACAGACTACATTTCCATTTACGACGTTTAAACTCTAAGTGGCAGTTATCTTTAGGAGTTCAAGAAATTACTACGCTAATTTCTCTGTACTTATTATTTTTGTCATTTCCTTTTTAAAGATACCAAACATTTTGGGACCCCACTACCAACACCACAGATTCTAAAAACGTAGTATATTCGACTAAGATTATTTAAAATGAAAATTAATGTCCTGGTTCCAAAACCACGATTGGCACTGATGCCAGGTTGTTTCACGTTTAAAAAAATAACTTTAACGGTTTAAATGCAATATAACGGTTTAAATTAATAAAATATATTAGTTAAACTTATTTGAAGAACCGTTAGTGTTTTATTTAAATGTAAACAGCGAGTACACCACAAACATACTGTCTGTGGTGTACTAGTGTAACACAGACAGTATGTTTCGCTTTTAAAACCGTGAAAGGTGTAAATAAAGAATTACCACAGAGTATAATAAATTGACGGATGAAACGGCAGCCTAAACATTGCGTACACAGATTAGCAATTAAGCATAATTTACCCGTACATCCGAGGCGTTAAACAAACTCGCCAGAACAAGATAATTCCTAGCATAAAATACTTTTGCATATACAAGGAGCTTAACTTTTGATTTATTGCGAGCGAAGCAATAAGTTGTGCATTTTGCACGCCATTTGAGCTCGCTAGCTAAATGTCACTGACCTAGAATAGTATAAATTATGACAAGAAAACAATGCCAACGGAACGTAGCGCAGCTTTCAAAAAGGAAAATAAAATGTTCTTCACATAATGAACGCTTATTGCTCTGTGCACAATTTGTATTGTCGTTCATCTTTAGTGACTATCGTGGTGACCTGGTGCTTGATTATTTGAGGCCGCTAGAGCTAGAGTAGCCTAACTGCTATTTTATGAATTGACTCATTTATATTTTTATAGTCCACAAATGTTAGCACAGTGACCGAAAATTGTTAACATAATTTTTACACAAATAATAGGACAAATTCATTATCGCCTAAGTTAATAGCTCATTTTAATTTTATTATTAGGCTACTCTGCCTCTAGCAGCATTATTTCATTATAAGCATAAATTCACAACTTAAATAATGAAATAAAATCATATAAAACGAGCCTTTACTGGTATTTGTTTAATGCTTTAGGTAAATTAACATCACTTGTATACATTAATGCCACCTATTATTAAAAGAATGTGTTTACTTTAATAATTACCGTTTTTTTATTATTTTCTTAAGTGTCGACAAAGATGATCATCCTAGAGATAATACTTATGTTACGGTTTTCTATCCATATCGGACTGTATTATAAAAATTCTAATAAACTTCACTCTTCTACTATACCCAGGCCAGTCTGAAAACCAGCGCTGCTGAGTGTGACAAGCGTTCAGCAACACAGCTGAGACTGGTATCATTTGCAATTTATTATTTATCTATTTTTTACTTACGCAATTTAGTAGTTACAAGCAAAACGAGTAACCGTGTTAAATGGGCATTAAAAAGTTTTGAATTCGAAGATATTTGTTTTTGCTCCACCTTAAAAGAAATATGAGCTTTTTATTATTTTAAATTTGAATGCATCCGCCAATCCACAGGCCGGTCGTGTGGGCAAACGTCGATTATAATTAGAACCAATCTACCTGAATATACTATGTCCAACATACTACTTACGCTGTTACAATACAATATATTTGTACTTATATACTTGTAGAGCGAAAATACAAGGCGCATCTAAGTGTGCAGTGTTTCCTAACTGCAATTTGAAGCTTACTAGCACTTCGTCAATAGTGCCATCAAACTTTCTTGTACACTGGCCGTCCGCCAGACAAGTTAGAGATGTAATCTCTACGAAGCTAAATTTCAAATCAATAAACGACTTGTGTGAGATCCTTTCCACGATTGTGAGGCAGACAAATTTCTGTTTTTCTTATGGAATTACAGGAAATGGATACATCTTTTGTTTTTGGTAAATTCGAAAGAAACTATTATTTACCAGTCAGTGTGTCAGCAACTTCCTCCGCGTAGAATAGTTATTTATTTATTTATTTAGTTACTTAGGGCTTTAAAATTTGTTTTTGCAAACCCCGTTTTTCCACATATCCCGCTGTTTTTTCACTTACATCGCAATGTGAGCAAAGTGCCTATAGGCTTCCTCGAATAAATACTCCAAGTACAAAAAAAAATCGATTCGAACTAGTGGTTTCTGAGAGCGTTCAAACAAACAAATAAACTCTTCAGCTTTATATATTAAGTAGTAAGTATAGAAAGATTTACATATTAAGACTTCCGGTGTTAGAATTCACCCACTTTACGGAATATGCATAAATGTTTTAAAATGACAACCTGATTACTTCATTCAAAAGTAATTTTGTGATTTGTAGTGAAAATTAACAATAAATTAATTGTATTTTCAAACAGCAGTAGGTGAGCTTTAGATTTTTCGTAGACGTGAAAAATATGCTTCCTCTTCATTATTTTGTTTATAATTTACTATTCATAAACATAGTTGTAGTTCATTTTATCGCCATAAGGTTTAAAATTTTCCATAATAAGTTTACGTGAACTTATGAGCCCATAAAGTGTGAATGTGGGCGAGATAGGGTCAACTGTGGGCGTCGGCCAACGAACATCTTCGCCAAACCCTACCTACCTATCTTGTGATTGGGAAATACTTTCTTATCGTTTGAATGAGGTTTTTTGTATAACCAGCCAGTGGTACCAATTTTTGACTAAGAATCCGTGGGTCGTGTAGTCACTCCTCACCAGGTCCAATATACCTAATCTAATCAATTTAAAACTCTTCTTAATCATGTTAAATTTGACTGGAATCTGGAGATTAAATTGTTAATAGGAATATCGAAAATTCAATCCCGTCCACGAAGCGGAGTCCACAGATAAAAAAAGGTTTATTGGCATTTCATAGTTACTCTGTGGATTTCCGAATGTGGAATCCAAAATACGTCAATAGCGTATCTGTGCAGTATATATCTAAATGAAAGTGACATCTGTCAATCTTACAAGATATTAATTATATTATTTAACAAGACATTTTAGCAGACTACACTAACTAATATATTTCACTTTTGTACCCGTTACAAGTATCGTAGTTAATAGTCTCGTAAAATAAAAATATTCGCAAGATTAATATGTTGCCAAGCTCAATATGTAATTAAACAATACTGACAAAGAATCGTTCTTTAAATGTGAAACAAAGGTAAATATGCAGAAGGATGTTAACATAGTTAAGTGTGTACTCGCCTTTGAGTGTGTGTACAATATGCATTGAGAATTGCAACGCATAATGGCCACTATAGGCGTGGGCTCGCAATGAATATTGAAATTGTGAAAGCATTGAAAAGTAAAGGATGCATTTATTTTGCCATATAAATTTCAATAATGCATCGTTGATGAGAACGACGGCGTGCTATATAAGAGTTATTTCTTTTTAATTATAATAAAAAGTGAATTCTCCTGTGGGGCACGGAACGAACACATTTCAGTGTCTGTTTCAATGATTTATTTACAGACAAGTGGTTGATCAAACTTCTGTGCCTTGCCTTCTATTTTATAAATATTTTTCAATTTATTTAAATAGTTTTAGAGATTAAGATATAAATATAGAGGTTTTAAAGATAGAATATATCGACAGTAAGTTGTTGATTAGACTTATACCAGTATACCCCGCCTGAACGGAATCATTAATTCTTAACTATGATATGAACCCGGGACTTCTCATACTTAACGAAGAAGTAGTTAAGTTACAGATGTAGATATATAATATAAATGTATACAGATTGTTTGTAGATAGATGGTATACAAAAAGTGCTGCATCAACGCCGCTTAAAAGAACCAAAAACAACATTCGACCTACATTCGCTGCAGGATTATTTATTTCAGTAACGGTGTTAACATTTCGCTCAAACCCGCCCTTATTCCTAAAAGATTAAAAGCACCATGTCAAACAATAGCCGGGGTTTCAAAGGACCCTTTTGAGCGCGACATGCAAAGAGACTGGCAGATTATATTTGCTTTTCGTGCTTTTAAATTCCTGGCTGAAGTGCATTCAATCGGGATAAATAAGATTTACTAATATGTTGTACTAGAAGAACTATTCTATGTACTTATGTCGAGAAAAATGACGTTAGGACGACATTTAAAAGTGTCTACAAATTATTTACTAAATATTACATATTGCCAAGATGGTCATTTAATAGAAGATGAAATAGCCATATAGCATCTTAGATACTGTCTATAGTTTACGCGAGTAGTACACATTTAAATAAAACACTTTAACGGTTTGAAACGCGATATATTAGTTAAACTTATTTGAAAATGATGGATGGATGGAGCCCGTGACCACGGCTGTTGCAAAGCATCCGAAACGTCGGGCCGGAGTTAAAAATCATTTTCAAATAAGTTTAACTCATATATCGTGTTTTAAACCGTTAAAGTGTTTTATTTACATATAGCATCTTGATAAGATGTGCTGTTGACCTATTTTGGCTTTAGATATTCGGGAAACCACACGGTGCGTGACTCGGACGGAATTTATATATTCCAACCGCGAAATTAATATCCAGATTTGAAGATGTCCTTCAGATTTTTTTTTTCAATTTATCAGAATGATCTTCTTGTCTTGATTATTATATATTGGTACTAAATTAGTGTATTTGATTTGTATAAACACAAATAATTAAAATGCAAATTAAATAAAAATTTGCAGCAACTCTGATGATGCAAACGAAAGGGTTGGGTTGCTTGTGACTTTTCGCCGTTTATAGTCGGTACAGAACCTTTAGTACGCGAGTCGAACTCGCGCTGTACTCGTTGTTTACTAGTATAATTGTTTTATTATAAATAGACCGCAGCTTGCAGCAGTTAGACAGTCGTAAATTCTACGCTATTATTTAAATGCAATTTCAGCGAGGCTACAATTATTATAATTGTACATAATTGTATTCTCGGAAATAGCGCAATTGTACTCTTCAATGCAGTTTCTGATATTCTTATATTAGAACATTAGTACATCAATTATAGCGAAGCGTCAAAGCCTTAAAACAACGCTCGTCTTACAGTTTTGATTTAAACACTGGCGCCCGCCCACGCGAAACTTTCTTTTAGTACAAGTTAAAAGCTGTAAGCGATTCCTGTTTCCATAGACTCTTTTTGATAACTGAATTTAATAGTTACGATTAAATTCGGTAGAAGAACTCTTTTGGATCATTTAAGGCTATTTTGCAAAGCTTCTGGAATTTGCTTTAACACCTGATGACATCATCAACTCGAGATACGTTTATATGTTTCGTACATTGAGAATATTTCTCAATTACGACGGTCGAACAGGTTGAAAACTCATGGATTTTTTTTTATAAAATTTAAATCTTAAGTCAAAGTATAATTAAACGGTGTTTCTCATTAGAGGGCACGTCAACAACTTAACCCACGCGACTCGTGGGCGCCGGCGCAGCCAATCGAATACGCAATTTTATTGATATACCGCCGCATCTCAATTATTTATTGACCTCCAATACTATCTTTATAGACACGACAATCTACCTCTGACTACTGATTTTCTAACATATTCGGCTCGTGTTCGGAGAAATGTTACCGGTTTTATTTGAATTTTAATGCGCTTTCTGATCGCCATTCGCAATAACTCCGATAGTTTAATGTTAATTAAGTTTTGAGGCGCCAGACGCTTATACAGTTGACATTTTTGTCGTCGTTAATGGCTCTGTCACGAACGAAGAATACCTATTTCATTTAATGTTGTTCTTTATGTTAATATAAATTTATTTGCGCCCAACTTATACTTACTGCTCGCTAAAAGCTTTTGCTTTACTTTGATATGTTTTATTTTGGAGTGAATATACAAATTAAAATTTTTACTGTATAAGTACTAGTAACTAACCGTGGTCACGGTAACACGGCTGCTACAAAGCATTCGAAACGTGAGGCCGTAGTTAAAATAAAATAATTTTCAAATAAGTTTAGATAATATATTTCGCGTTTTAAACCGTTAAAGTACTTTATTCAAATGTGTACTCGCGTAAACTACAGACAGTATTTGTCAATTATTATTTCTTTATAGATTTTTGATATCCACTGTTCTTTCTCATATCTCTTCCATAAATAAGACGTTTACGCAACTCCGGATGTTCAAAGACGAATTAATTACAAGCACTTGACGCCTACACGTCCCACTATTTGTTTAAACTATCGATCAATAAAAGTTTTAAACTTGCCCAACTACAAACGTTTAATCGGCGGGTACTCTTCGAATTAAGGCTTGTCAAGTAATAAATACTTGTTTTAAATTATACATTTGAGCATATCTGTGGCTCAATAGTCAAACGCGTTGCCTAGCATTACGCTAAGTACATACGAGGTCCAGGGTTCGATAAATTGTTGAGGTAGTTCATTTAAGTCTAATTACTTCTTATATATAATGCCCCATCTAATTATACGTTTGAACTCACTGCTCAAGATAGACGTTGGTCCATCGGTTAATGTATGGCTAGTAATCAACGGGACTTGGGTTCTATTCTTCTTAGTGTTAAATACTGAAAAAATCTACAATGTGTCAAATGTTTCCATCTAAAAAGGTTACATTAACTACCATAGACATCGTAATTCTACACGAATCACGAACCACAGATGGAAAATTCTCTGTACTTCCGAATGTTCCATCAAATTATCTTAATTAGAAGTTACAGAGGTATTCTTACCTTTAATCAAGTAAATTTCGTGCTTGCCTGTCGTTTGTCAGAATAAAGCAATAACAATACGTCAAAACATGTTTACATATTTCTAATGTAACTTGAGCCTACATTTTACGCAATTATGTAAAATAAATTGCGAAACTTATTTTCGAATTGTAATATAGGTGTCGAGTTACCTGTAGTGATGAATGGACTGTTTTAGGTAGGCATATTGATGTTTGAAACAATAAACATTATAATAATTTTATAGTAAGACAATGGTGTTACTCATAACAAAGGTTTGTATGGATATCTCTAATCGTTGCTTTAGAATACATCTACATACATTTTATGATAGAAGATGACAGACAATCATGCGGTCCTCTTGGTGGAAGATGAGATAACCCAGCCGTATAACCACTGAACAAGGTGTTATATGACTTTACATGTTGAAAGGTCCGCAGAGCGCACCCGAAACGCGCTTATCTCACACATCGAAAGCCGTCGTTCACAGCTTTTCTATCTGTGAACGACGGTTGGTGACGGTGATTATACTTATTAAACGCTATAAAAAATCTAGAAACTATTTGAACGCCAACTCAAAAGTGCCTTTCTTACGTTCCGTCAGCACATGCACAATTCGAAGCGAATTCCACAAAAGTCTCTGACGATGCATTTTTCTGCAACAATCGGATGAAATTGTTGTAGTGTTGAGCACGAACTATGCGCCTATTTGCAGCATGGTCTCGTTTATTTGCGTTTGTCGCGAGTCGCTAAGGGCATTCACTCGGCGTACGCAGCTATATTTCACGCACGAACACCGTCTCTTCGCAGTAAATAGCATGCAGCGCGAAAAAGTCTCTCTCTCTCTCCGTCTCTTCGCCTTCTAGAAGTGGAGTCACTTTTACCCCTATAGGGCATTTAGAGTATACATTTATGTGTCCGAACTCTGGACCTCAATCGCTCGCTAATGCTAAGCTAGGCATTGAACTTGGATTTGGACCAGCTCCTTGGTTTATAGTAGCAACTGGTCGTTGGTTTGATCCCCACCAGGTCCAACATGTTTTCAATCAATTTATAATTATTCTGAAAGGTGTTGTTGGACTGGTGGATGTGGGTATAAAATGTGTGGTAGGAATATCGAGATTCCGTACAAGTCACGAACCAGCTCGAAGAAGGCGTCAAGCTTCATCACGGTTCGGTTTTAGTCTGTGAATATTCCAATACCTAAAGCCAAAAAAGGTCGACAGAGCATCTTGTTGATATGTTACTTGACTTGGATGTTTTACCTTTCATCTTGAAATGAAACCCTTGTTTTTCTGACCTTCTCTATCATAAAATAATAACTACGGAATTAGTCTCTCTTTTAACCTCTACTAATTCAAAAGTAGAAATGTTAAGCAATTAAAATTTTTATTCAATTAACAGACACAATCGTCAAATAGTGTAACATCAAACACAATATTGTGTCTGTAACCTCTGTTTTCAGATCAATGATAATAATATTTACCAAGAATTGAATGAAACTTTTCTAATAGTAATTTTTAAAATAACGCGAATAGCCTAACAGTTTCTTCGACGAACACAATTTCTAATATATATTTATTCGTGCAAGTGATAATTGAATTAACTAAAGCACTAAAGGCTTATTGGATTTGCAGAAATAGGAATGATGGAATTTAAAAGCAACAGGTTTAGCTGGGGATTAAACTAAACTCATTATAAATAAAGAAAGACTAATTGTAGATTACAGTGTAGGAGAATTATCGTAAACTAACTTTTAGATACGACGTCGTCCGCGTCCTGTCGTTCTTGTGAGGTGATTTTATAAGATATATAATGGCAGACTTGTTTTATTTCTTTTTAGAGAAATAATTTGTTTATACATATTTTTTGGTTTCTTTCTTTCAAAAAATTAACAATTTTGCCCGTTTTTTTTTTACCGTTTTCCACGGTACCTCCGCTCTTATTTGTCGAAGCCTGATTGTTATATAGTCTAAAGCTCATCATCAAATAAACAACATAATAATAGTTCCCGAAATTTGTGTGTTAAATCAAACAAACAAATAAACTCTTTAGCTTTATAATATTATTATAGATACAAACAATAATAAAATGCATGCCAATTGACTAGTAAAAGATATAATACCTGTCTAGGGTCTTATCGCCCTAAAGTCAACACTGGCACTCAAATGTCAAGCCCTGATGTCAAATCTGTGCAGAACACCTAGCTAAAGTAAAATTCTTTAACAGGTTCGCCAAGAATGTGGTCCACCTTCAACCATTGATGCTCCAAATCTAGCATCCCCCCATCCTACGCCAGGATCATCCAGACGGGATGCTCTAAGAGCGCCACCACCAGACACGGAATTACTCCAGTTTGCTGCGACCCTAGCTGCCAGTAAGAAACTGTTCGCCGTGCTGTCGGATAGACTGTGCGATGAACCGAATTTTGCTGCAGAAGGCAATGAATATTGCTGGAACGGTGTTAGTGTTGCAGAGTAAGTACATCTTAATTTATGACTACTATACACAGTCTTTAATCGTTTGTGTAACTTGGTCCTTTTATTAACTCTCTTTCTGAATCTTTGTAACATACGTATTTTCTTTCTTCTCTTAACACTTTTTAATCAAATACTGTGTGTAGTTTAAGCTCGTAGTACACGTTTAAATAAAACAAATTAACGGTTCAAAATGCGAAATATATTAGTTAAATTTATTTGAAAATTTGAAATTTTGAGCCGTAGTTAAAATATATTTCGTGTTTTGAACCGTTAAACAGTTTTATTTAATTTTTTAAATCGACGAATACTATTTCTTACTATTCTTTATACTAACTAAAACTACTATTATTAAAGTAAAGTACTTAAGGGGTTATAAATGTTTTAACTTCTACCCTATCCATCAGGTACACCAAGGCGTTAGTCGCATCGGCGTCAATAAGTGATCAGAAATATAATCCTGAAGTTACCTCGGAGACATACCAGAACGCCAAAGTCGCCGTACTAGGTGAAAGGTTGCGTCAAGCTAGACAGGTAATTGAATCTGTTTGTCAAATATTAATATGCCAATACCAAGTAAAGCCAAATAACCAGTAAGTTTTGTATTATCAAAGCCAAAATAATAATAGGACCTTATGCCTCCCTTGTATATATATGCGATATAAAGTTTCAAACTCAGCCCAAAATTTTTAGATAACTATTATTTACTTAGTATGATAAAAAGTCATGCGCACTTGAAAATAATAAAAAAGTATTTTCAGGTAACAGATTATCTACATCAATCTAGTTTTGATCTGGAAACCTTTTTAAGTATATAATACAATTAAATTATTTCTTAACAAATATTTAAATAAAACACTTTAACGGTTTAAAACGCGATATATTAGTAAAACTTATTAAAAAAATGATTTTTAACTTCGGCCCGACGTTTCGGATGCTTTGCAGCAGCCGTGGTCACGGGGAGACACGTCACACGTTTTATAACGTCGGGCCAAAGTTAAAAATCATTTTTTTAATAAGTTTAACTAATATATCGCGTTCTAAACCGTTAAAGTGTTTTATTTAAATATTTCTTAACAAGTTAATTTAAATATGGGTTTAAATTACACATACAAAGATTGTTGAAACTGTTATCCATTTCTATTGGTCTTGACGTCCTTGTGAAAACCCCACTGCAAACCCACCATTGGGCGTCCATTTGAGTCTTGTCTATCTCATCGGTGGTTCAATGTTTTTAAGCAATATTTTACGCTATTGCAGCTTTTGGTGTCGCACTCATGGAGCGATAGCGTCCCGGCAGCTGAAGCCTTCATGCAGGGCGATGAGGCGGGAGATGAAGGTTCAGGTTCTGGTCGCCTTTACACGGACGACGACGCATCCTACGACGCAGAGGGTTCCGGGGAAGAAGGTTCTGGAGCACAGGATGTTGGTAAGTGACATTCCCAAGATTAGACTTGCATATTATTATAGTGTTATCCAATATATTCATGATAGCTTCTTATTTTTTAAAGACGCTAGGATAGAATATTATATGTTTTTATTGACTTACAAAAATAAGATAAAACCACCTCATACGTTGCGCTACGTTGAACCTAATCCATTTCATAAAATATCGAAAAGGTAATTTCAGATACAAAAAGTGCTTTTAGAGATTAACGGAAACACACATCCGCTGTTTACCTTTTTTAGTTTTCTTAAATGTAAAGATATAATGAATATGAATTAGTTTGTTAGAGTATAGATTATGAATATTGAAAATTGTGCTTAATTCCTCGTTTCTTCTGCAGCAAGTCGGACAATAACCAATGAAGAAACGACATATTCAGCGCCACCCAAAGTAAGTGGATCCGCAACTAATTCCAGATTCTTCTTCGGATACACGCTCTTGATACTAATGTCGGCCTTAAACTGTCTTTAAGCTGAGACCCTCGATCTCACGATAGATCTTTGAGGACCCAGTGTATTGTGAATCATATCAAAGTAAGCAATATAATGTGCAATGACTTTAACGGAATGTTAACACTTTAGGAATATTACTGAACCGACCAGGCCCCGTAACTTGGTATTACGAAAATAGCAAATATTGTAGTCTAAATATATGTTTTGGGGCCTAAAAGGTGAAGTGTCGGCGAGAAACAGCAGAGATCAAAAAATAAACCGAAACGAATAAGTATTAACAATGTTTAATGTTTTTTACAACGGATCATAACAATCTTTTCGTAATTTAAAACGCAAAATATCTAAAAAATAAATGTTAAAGTTCGTAGTGTTGTTTTGTGTAGCTAGTCCCTAGTTGATACGAAAGCTTTCAAGTTTACAGATTATAAAGTAAGTAAAAGTGCAAACACTTGCATTTATATCGTTTTAAAGTCTGCAGTTGTACAGAGCATATCAAAATGTTTACCGTATTTTGTAAATAGTTTTCATTTTATATTTTTTAGCGGAGGAATGCATTTATTGAGTGAAATTGTCATAATAAGGAACATAGATATATTTATAAGAATCTCTATTCAATGTTAATATTAGCTAATTGGCAATAATTCTTATAGACTAATATAGCGTTTAGATTATTGGAAAGTATAACCTATTGTATATGTGTACATAAATCCTACTGGTCTAGGTGCTTAGCGGAGTAATCATTTTGTTGCCATATTATTATTTATATAATTATAAGTCATAATTTAATCGAATAATATTATGTGATACAGACAATTCTTAGGTTTATAAGTTGATTTGTGTTAAAGCTTAAACAAAATACGAATGATTTAGATTGTAGACACCTTCGGGTGACGATCGGCCTATTTATTTATCGATCCTGATATGATAATCAGTTGATAGAATTGCTCGAAAAATTCCAATTATGTATGTATTTGTAGATAGAAATTTGAACCTATTTCTGTCACATTTCGTCGAAAAAAAAGGTGTGATTTCTCCTAGTTCGAAATATTATACGAATCGATAGTGCTTTAAAACGTATCATAGTGTGACGTCATCTAATGACGTAGCGATTTATTGTGTTGTAAATTATATGAATTGTTAGTGATAGACTAGGAAATGAATTTGACGATTGCTGAATGATAATTTTCATCAATTTTAACAATATTTAACATAATGACGAATCTTTTAACTTTACATGGTGCTTAAAATTAACGACGATATCTCAGGGTACGTCAAACTATAGACTATCGTTCATCTTCCTACTTAGTATGAACGTGTATTAAATGTGCAAATGACAGAGGCAGAGCATCGGCTGATTGAACGACGGACTTCGGATTGCTTTGCAGCTAATCAATTATATAAATTATCGTCTTTTTAATAAAACACTTTAACGGTTTTAAACGCGATATGAATTAGTTGAACTTATTTAGATTCTTTTTTTATCTACGGCCCGACGTTTCGGATGCTTTGCAGCAGCCGTGTTCACGGGGACCGGGATCCGTACTAATATATATCACGTTTTAAACCGTTACAGTACTTTATTTCAAAGTGTACTATTCGCGTAAAATACGCGTTCTGGCGGTCTATATCGTCAAAATATGTAGAAAAAATATACGTAGGTACTTGTCAAATGACTTAAGTCTATAGTTTGAACCAAGCCTTAAACTAAAAAACAATTTGTAAGATTTGTTCTTTTAAAATATAGTTCTTGGTTTTCTTTAAACCAAAGCCAACGATGTTTATATTACTCAGGTCCATTCATAATTAAATTCAATGTTTTGTTTAATTATGTGGTTACAAACTCAAACAATTTGGTATTTGAAACCAAATTTATATCGCATATAAGAATTTTCGTAAATTAAACTTCAAACTTCTTGAAAAGTTTTATATAGAAGACGAAATATTATGCTTTTAAATTGTATCCAAGAAACGGTTCTTAAATATACGTTGTACATATAATACAAATAGTGTGTTTATATCAAAGAAATAAAATCTGTACCACAATATTTACTGTATTTTATTTATTTAACTCTAACTTATATGCTAAGATTTCTGCTTAGTATATAAATAACGAGCTGTTTCTATATTCTTTTGTTTTATGTTTGATTATGTCTCGTATTAGACGTTGCTGTTTTACGGTTTAAAACACGAAATATATCAATTACTTAATTTTAACTCCAAATTAGTTAAAATAAATGTATTAAACAAATTTCGCTATAAATCGTTAATACTGTTTTACTTAAATGAATGTGTAATATTGGGACACTTATCGAGGAAGACTGGACTATAAAACATCAGGCTTCGAAATTCTTCATAATGCAAAAGAACGTTTGCCCGGTCAGCTAGTGTGTACTATATACATAGTGTATATTATATAATTTTATAAATAAGAAGTATATAACAAACTTTGACAAAGGGAAACGCTTTCGTGGAAGCCGGGAGTCACGGAGGTGACACGACTTGACTCCTATCGACCTGTGTTCCAACAATAGTTCACAAGTACTCCTAATTGAGTTCACATCGAGTTATGTGACTTGGTGCAAAAGCATTCTTTACAGTTTGATATTTGATAGAAAAAGTGGACTATTTAGTGTTTCAAGTAAAAACCCGGGTTTCCCAGTCCGGAACATGGAAACAATTGACTGTCATTTTCACAGAAAATTTGTATTATAGACAAATAGTTTATTAGACTGTGCTTTGGCTAAAACTATTGCGTTAAATGTTATTTAATGTTATACCGGGATTCTATCCTAACACCAGTCAAGCTAAAAGCAATAATGCAAAGAAAGTGTTGTTATGTTAACGCAAGTAAAACACTTAACGCATTCTACAGCATAGCGTTTCGGATTAGAAATCCTAAGTTCAGATACATAACCTGGGATATAAGAAATCAGCGAGGTAAAGTCTTAATTACATCACACATGACGTGCTCTACGAAAGAGGAGTGATAGTCGACAATAAAGAGTAGAAGCGAATTCACTTTTTCCTAAGATACCTGTAAGTAATGAAAGGAATTAAGGCATGCTCGGAAAAACACAGGGCGTCATATTTACGCTAAACTAAAAAGTCATAATAATTTTTCACCTATTAATTTCTTGACAACGTTACCTTATCTTCAAAGCAATAAAAAAAACTCCGTGAAATCTGTAGATTTCTGATAACTGCCTTCAATAAGGCATATTACATTTAATATACAAAGGCTATAAAAAAACGTGTTATGTATAAGTGTATAATGTACACGTATACATAATATGTCACATTATGATTTTAATTAGCTATTTGCAAAATTACATTACCTATTCATGAAGCATTCAAAGTTATGCAATTTCGCATATTGCTGTTTGAAACGTCAATAATTTCTCAATCTTAGAATTTGTTTTCAATTAGAGGCTTCTTCAATATTGGTTGTGCTACATTATTCAATAAGGCTCCCGAAGAGTTTCAGCATATAAGTCCGACAGCTGGACACAGATCGCCTCTATGATAAAGCGAGGGTTTTGGAAATTAGACCCTTAAATTTCGCCAATACGTCGTGTGCATGGAGGTGATGACAGCGTCAAATCTAAGCCGATATAACTAAGTCTTTTTCTTTTTTGAAAAATATCGTTAACATTACTTTACCATAATACATTTCGCATAAGGCGCAACATGAGGTCTACCTCATGTTATACATAATGTACCTTATGCGAACATTATATATATATAATAGTCCACATGAGGTCTTATGTGTAATTAAAAAAAAAAGGTTTTACTACAATTCCACGATCACAGTAATAACGTGATAACATTGATATCTCCATTAGTAAAACGAAAACACGACACGTGGTCGTGTGTTTGAGCTGATCGCGTCACCATTATTGAATACAAAATAATTTTCACTTTAATTTCGCATGAGAATTATAACCGTTGAGTCCTGTTTTATAAGTCAACAAACAAATTTTACCTATAACCAACGTTCAAGTGATATCAATTCGAAATAATTGATTATTGAATACAGTTGAGGACGAAGTCATTATGCAAACAAAGCTCAATTACATCAATTTAGATCTAATTCGCTTATTGGATAACATTCCAATCATTTTAATCATACAATGACCCGCTTTAGTTAAACATCGATCAAGTTTGTACGAGTTGCGAATCGTGGTGAATAAATCAACATTATCACATTATATCATTGATTTTTTGGGCTGTTCACGGCATGGTAGAAAGCATATCATTTAAATAAAACACTTTAACGGTTAAAAACGCCGTGAGTCTCCCCGTGACCACGGCTGCTGCAAAACATCCGAAACGTCGAACCGAAGTTAAAAATAAGTTTAACTATTATATCGCATTTTAAACCGTTAAAGTGTTTTATTTAAATGATATGCTTTCTACTATCCATTTAATATCCATCGATTTTCAAATTATTATATAAATTGATTACAAAACATGTTGGACCCGGTGGGAATCGAACTCACGACCCGTGCTTTGTTAACCACTGCTACCATTGGGTCAATAAGCTTGTCAAGCCTTATGCTATACTAATACAAACGCTTATGTGGTAGTAATAGGCTAAGGCCTCACTTTATTTCACTTTAATGTCTTTAAGATGAGTTTCATAAATCTCAAGAACAAGTAAAACGCCCACTTGACCATAATAACGGTAAGAGGTAACCACTCAGTGCATAGATTAATGGATATTAAGCTACGGTTAATCTACTTTTTCCTTGCTAAAGTTTTCTAGACATATAGAATATTCAATGAATCTTAGCTTGTATTAAATACTGTCTGTAGTCTACGTGTTTTATATAAATGTTAACTAGACTACGCGCTAGTAAACATTTATATAAAACAGTTTAACCGTTTAAAACGCGATATATATCAGTTAATTTTCAAATAAGTTTAACTTATATATATCGCGTTTTAAACCGTTATGTTTTATTTACATATTTATCTATATAGAGAAGATGATAGACACAGGCGGGACTTGAACCCTCG